CAAATGCTTCAGTTTAACGCATATATTTTATTAATTGAACGTTAGAAACGTAAGCGTTCGAATACTTTCGTGTACGACTGTAGGTGCGCGCTCTAAAAAAGGAGGCGCTATAGCTAATTGGTTAAATATTTCGCGGTAGAAGCGAATTTTCGTGTCATTCAATTATTTTAATATTGAGAATAAGATGCGGCGCAAGAATGTTTGAATCAATTTTATAGAATCTTCATGTATTTAACGACATTATAAATGATTATATTTCGTTAATTCGTGTGCACGGAACAATGACAATTAGTTTTGGTTTAAACATTGTCTCAGCTTTAATATTTGAGATAATTAACTCAGTTTATAGAGTGATTCGCGTCTGCTTCATTTAGCCCAATATAAAAATGATCATTTCTGCATTCGATTTACATGCTCAAATTCAACTAAAATATCAGAGATTTAAATACAATAGGTTCTACAGTCTGACATTTTAGTGCTTTCATTACGAGGTTATTAGTTCGGTGTTATGGAGTGATTTATTTCTATTTGATTGAGTAAAATAAAAATGATAATTTCTGCGTTTGATCCGCATACATGCTAAACGTTGATCATTTAAACGCAAAGACTTTAACGCTCCGCAAGATAACAGCAAAAAAGAACGGATACCGTTGTTGTTCCCACGAGGAAAAACTTGAAAATGCAATCGATATTGTTGGAAGCGAGGCAACGGAAGTGGTATTATTATATGTTATATAAAACGAAACTAACACACAGGTAACGGATATGCTTACATAAAACTGCACTTTTCAGAATTCGAAACATAGGGAGTAACTCTAATGGTTAACTTAAATCATTAGGATGTGTTCCGCCTGCTAAATAATTTACGTTACACCGCGTCAAAGTAAGCTGCTGAACATTATCGCCGGCGCCTTTATATGCGCGTCCGCTTATGAAAATTCATCGGTCTTTTTCCCACCCGGAAAATTGTAAATTATTCAATGATCTGTTATATTTTTCATATTTTATTGGCCTGTAAAAAACGTAATGATGCACAATTACAGTGTGACGAATGGAAGAAAATACCCACTTTTTTTTATACATACGTTCAACTATACTTTCGGTTAGCTTGTTGTTAAGAAACAAGTCATGGTAATTATATGTTTCACTCGAATGGAATGATATTATCACAGCGAATGATTTTAATTAGGAGCGATTATCTCTGTCATCGACGCTTCTAGATCGAAATGATCGAACATCGTCGGGAGTTTCACGCTTATAAAGCGTTTATGAATATCCATGCGATAGCTGTTGACGTGTGCATGCTGATGCATGTACATATATGTATACAGTTCGACTTTATTTTCATGTACGTGTCCCCTACAATAACGCCGGCCGTTTGATTTGTTGCAAGTCTATGCGGGAAACATTGAAGCAGATTTATTGCGTTTAGGGGGAGGGGGGGCAGAAAATTTTAAAAATAGCGCCTCCGACGACGAAGCGCCTCCGTCGTGAAGCAATACCTCCCACATCGATTTCCAGCAACGCCAACATGAAGTTTCCTCTCACCGGAGCGTTCTTTAGCCACACTTCGAGAAACGAAGTGGCTGGAGGAGTCCGATAAAAATCTAGAAATTTCTTAGAAATCGCCATTTCTTTTTTCAAGGTACATACGCTGTGAAATAATTCCGTACGTGCTGTACTGTGAAATTGTGTTGCAACTTGGATGCCTTTTCCCCACACACGAGTTTCGTTCGACAGCATAAACATGGTGCAATTTTTATTCATTTTCCATCCGATTTTCTTTTTTGTTACTTAAATAAGTCCAAAAGTTTTTATCTCGATTCTTTTTTCGTTGAATATCGTACACAGACTGCGGACCTTCAGGCGGATTACAAATTTTCTGCGACTGTTGTAAGAAACAAAAGCCATTCGGGAAACCCGTATTCCCCGATTCTTCTAATGTTTCAACTATTTTAAATTGCAGTTACGCATTTTTCATCATAAATGCTTCAAATCCGCAGTCTATATTCTGTCTCAAACATCAAAGTGCAAAAAAAAACTAAGAAACTATAGAAAATGAAATTTGAATGAAAAAGTATATCTTATCCAGGGATAAGTTGAATCTGCGTTGCTTAAAAATTGTATAAGTAAACAATAAATAAAATTATAACGTAATATCGTGTTGTTTTTGCGAATACGTTTATAAAATTTTGGGAATATGTTTTAGAGGTATTGTTCTTTTAATTCGTACATAAAATTAATTTTTTGATTTCGTTACACGACGATCTCTCTTAAGTCACGAGCTCTATGGTAGCATTTTCGAGGTTCCAACCACGAATACTCGTACGGAGATAAACAATCAATTATTTCAAATGCTCTGCAGATTTCAGCAACCTCGAACGAAACAGAATATTCTCTCGTACCGTGTGAATGGTACATCTATTAAAGGAAGTAACACATTCGCTACCACAATTTTTATCCCGCGCATCTTCATTATTATGATGTCTCACGAAATGCGACATACATTCTCTGTAAAATGTTCAAAAACAATACAGCAAAGGCATGTTACGGACTCTTCGATCATTATACAACACTGCAATACAATGGCGATCAATAACAATGTGCATAGAATCAAAGATCAATTAAAAAAAAAATTAGTTTATGCATTAATCGAGCTCCAGAATGCAAGATTTACATATTTACTAGAAAAGAATCGTAAAAAAGAAATTCGACAGACTAAAAAATGTGAAAAAGCAAGGAAAAACTACTACTACAAGAATTCGAGATTAATACTAAATCAGAGCTACGTTGATTAGCATTTCTTCTTCTTTAATAATTAATGGAACAAGACCGTATCTGTTTCTACGTGACGACTCTGACTCGTTGTTGTAAAGGATAAGCGACGTTTTACAAAGTAAAATGCGCAATCTTGCCATCACGTGATTACTTTTGTAATTGATTATGTAAGAATGGCATCATTGTGAAATATAACGGTTTCGTCACGAGGAAATAGGCGTTCTAGTATCGCTAATATCGATTACCAGGATGTCTGGGTTTAAAACAAAACGCGTTCGAGGCTCACTGGTCTTTTTTGCTTTATCGATCAATATGCGTTCGACCGAGTGGATGATGTGACACTCTTCGTCGATCTTGCGCCGTGATTGATCGCCTAGTCGCGATACGATTATTACGACTATGTACGATTATTTACGCTTATGTCCATTTATGTCTCTTTCATATATAATTAAATATCCATATGAACGTTAAACGTTTCCTAAACTTGTTTGAATCCTATCACATCCGTCAATTATCCATCCTCGACAGCCTCGCAATTACGAAAAGTAATCATGGTAATCATAATCATTACGAGAATAAATCAGTGATCATGATTACATTTGGTAACCTGTAATCGCAGAAGAATGATTAATTTATCTTTCCCCATCGCTTGATATTGGGTCTGGACGAGGGGCCCCCAACTGAAAAAAGTCTTCTGTCGAGTCATGAAGTACGTGTAGATTTTCTATACTAATCAGAATTATTATTAACTACCATAATACCGAAGTTTTTAGTTTACGAGTTATTAACGAACATTTACGAGTTATCAACGAAAAACAGTGACCAATGAGAAGGGGGATCAGCTGGCGCGAGGCGACCGAGCCAATGAGCAGAACAGGGCCGAGCTCGCCTCTCATTGGTCACTGCTTTTCGTTGATAATACATAAATAAAGCCGCGGATTGCATTTTCGTTAAAGGAGAAAGTTACTTCAAATGACCTCAGGAATCGTCCCTTTCCGGGTGTTAACATAATTATGGGACGTCCTGTATACAATTCTCAAAAATTGTATACAATTCTTTTCCGGATTGCCGGAAAAGTGAAAAAGCTACAGACTTGTTATTTAGCACTTTGTTTCAGCGTATCTTTATGAAATAAGAAATTCACAACAAAAGCAAAAATGTTCTTTTTTAATATTATTAATTAAACAGATACTGCGAACATCTTCAAGACGTCTTAAAGACGTCTTTGTGCTATCTGGAAACGCTATTTTCATGTACGCGTAAACGGTGTCATTATCTCCGCCATATTGGATCATCCGAAACCAGATATTCCCTAAGCATCGAGTTCCTTTTTTTCAGTTTTTAAAAATTGGGCTCAAAAAGCGTATTTTCAATTTTGTTTCGTTCTCGGTCAAATCATTGTTAATGAATCTGATATTATTTTACGAACTAACAATGACATCAGAGAAATCGTCGACCGATGTTTAGAGAATGGAATATGTCTTAATAATATTTTGCTTCACAAAGATACACTGACGTCGCGTTTTCACTTCTCCGGTCATCACCCACGCCCAAGAAACACCTATTTTTTCAACCGATCTCGCGAATGAAATATCCAAGTTCTCGACACATACACACGTGTAATTATGCATTTTATTTTCCGTGTACACGAATGTATAAATACCCATCTATTTTTGTACATCGATCCGATCGACACGTGCATAGGTGCTTTACGTGTTCGGATTGCGTGGCAACCGACGTGTTTTTGTTCCGTTTTTTTCTCCCCCGATCGGATTGTTGTCGCCTATTCATCACGTTTCACTACTCAGTATTATATCCACGTGTCTTAAAATGTATGTACGCGTATCCGTGCATTTAATATCACACGGATTTAGATTCGGATTTGCTTATGACACGTGCGCACGCGTGTGTATTTACGCACGCGTGAAACGGAAACCTCTACTAATCACTCGAAAAGGAAATCTCGATATATAACCCTCGAAAAGGAAAATTTGCCAACGGAACGCGGACGTTCCGAACGACCGAATTGCTGCAATTCTACATTGGTAACGGATAATCGACGTCAGTCTGGAAGGCGAGCGTGATCCATCGCGTGTCACCGGTCCCCAGAAATAATGGCCGATAATTACCCGGCGGTTTAATTAACGCGCACCTGCTTGTGTTTACATGCGCACAATGGCGATCCTTGGCTGGTCTAATCTGTTCGATCGTTTTCGTTCCAGGAACCGAGGAACCGTCGTTCGCAGCAGCAAGAAGCGACGGGTGGTGGTCCCGGAAGGTATCTCCAGCTTTCCATGAGAAGAAGCTCCGCCGACCTTTCCTCGTACGTGAGAATAACAAGAGCCCGGCCTTGAGGTGTGGAGAAGAAGAAGAAGAAGAAGAAGAAGAAGAAGGTAAAGGCGAAGAAGGCGAAGCAGACGAAGAAGAAGAAGAAGAAGAAGAAGAGTGGTCGTCGTGCAGAGGGAACACGGGGCACCGGGAGAGATTTATTCGAGTTTCACAACCTCTCTCGATCAGCAGCGGCGGCGGCGGCGGTCGTGACCTCGATAGAGCTCATCCACCTGGCTGGATAACTCCGTTGATTCGCTGCCGCGGCCGGGACGAGCCGAAAAGGTCGGAGAGGAGCCGGTGTGTGTGCGTGTGTGTGTCGGAACAGTATCTGCGGCGATCGTGGTCCCAGTGGTCCCCGCCACTGCCAAGTGCCACCGGAAGTCGCGCGATGTAGTGGTCCCGGTGGTCCCATGGTTTTTCGCCGGTCGCTCCGTGGAGAACGGGACTGTTGAGGCGGGTCGAAGGAGGACGTCGAGCCGTTTCGATTTTCGTGCCGGCCGGCCGTTATCGGACAGGCTGCTGCGCGTGCAGAACCATGAAGACGATGGCCGACGAGGCCGTGGACGCTGTCGACGAGCAGAACGGTACCGGCGCCGGGACGCAGAACGCCACCGCCGGTAAAGAGTTCGGCCAGAGGACACTCAGGTCCTTGAAGAAAGGCCTCGGCAGACTGTGGAGGAGGCACAGGGGTAACGCCTCCATCACCGAGTACGACCCCTGCTATAAGGTCGCTTATCTTGGGAACGTTCTCACTGGATGGGCCAAGGGTACGTGAATTGGTTTATCTGATCTTCTTTGTGTCTCGCGACGCGCTGCCATGCCGACCGGCACCGGTCATTAAGTTCCTTGCGCGCTATCGTGCCGTGTCGCGGCTGCAACGCAACGCAACCAAACGAAACGAAACGGAACGCGCCTGGATCCTAATTGATGACATTCACTTTTCAAACCGATCCTAGCGGTCGCGGCTCGCTTTTCCTGCTGCTCGGCCGACGCCGACGCCGCGCCACGCCGCGCCGCGTGAAAGCGTGCACCGCGAGTCTCGTTTTTCGTTGCCACGATATCCTGCGATTTCAGGGCAATTGTCTGGGAGAAATCGGCAGGGGGTGAAACCGTTTCGAAAATAACTGTTTCAATTGGTTTCAATTCGATATCGGTTCTATTGGGTTGGCAACTAAGTAATTGCCGATTTGTTCGATGAAGTAAAAAATTTTTTTTTACTTGGAACGAAGTTTAATCTGTAATGTATTTTCCATTTTGTTCGATGACCTTTTGCCGTCTCTCCGACAACTTGAAAATTCCACGCTCGTAGAAAGTCTGATCCTTTTCGGCCAAAAACTGAGTGTAGTGAGATTTTACAGCGTCATCGTCGTTAAAAGTTTTACCACGAAGGGAGTTGTCCAGGGATCGAAATAAGTGGTGATCCGATGGCGCGAGATCAGGGCTATATGGTGGGTGTAACACCAATTCCCAAGCAATATCCATGAATTTTTGCCGAGTGGACAAAGACGTGTGCGGCCTAGCATTGTCCTGCTGGAAAATGACACCTTCACGATCGACCAATTCTGCTCGCTTTTTCTTGACCGCTGCATTCAATTTGTCCAGTTGCTAACATTTACGGATAATAAAAAATAACATAATAATAATTTTATAATATAACATTTACGGATATCATAAAAATGGGAG